GGAGAGGCCTCTGGGAGGAGGGTGTCAGGTGCCCAAAGCCCAGAGACCCTCCTTACTGCAGCCTTGCAGACGCAGCTCGCCCTGCTGTTGCCACATCTTCCCACCAGGCCCCAGTGCTCCCCTCTCCACTCGGTCTGAACACGGTTTCCTTGGCGGATGCTCTCTTATTAGTCAGCGACCCGGGGCTGGAGTTCGTGTGCGCCTGCTCCTGGTCTTTTCGGAATCTCAAACTTCAGGGTCCTCAAGATTCTCTGAGTGCTTCGAGTGAGAACAACTTCAGCTGGGGATGCTGGGGCAGAGAGCAGAGGGAGGGACATCCTCAAGGCACCTGTCTCCTCTCCATCTGCGTATTGCCTTCAACAAGGTGACTGGTGACCTGTGACATGTCCCCAGGACACTCTGGCTCCCCAGGTACTCTCCGCAGCTCAGCCTGATTTGATGTGAACAGGACAGTCCTAAGCCCAGACGTCTCCTCTTCTAGTCCAGCCTCCTCAGGGTCCTTCAGACGTCACAGACAGTCCTTGCTCGCAGGCTCGGCAATCTGCCCGGGACCCTCGCCCAGGTCCTCACTGGCTTCTCTGGGCCTCGCCTCCACCCTGTGCTCCTCAAGCTCCCCTCCCCGAGTCGCCAGCTCCCTCCTCACCCAGCCTGTGAGAGCCTGCACTCCCAGCTCAGCGGGTCCCATTGCAGTGGATCTCCACCCCCAACTCTCTGTTTGCTCTCCTGATTGCTTTCTGCCTCTGGTTTCATTTACTAATTTCGTTCTGGAAAGTTTGGGAGTGCAGGTCTGGTTCAAAACCATCCTCTCCTGTCTCCACACCTGGCCTCCTCGCTGCCATCTGGGCCCTCTGTCCTCCCATCGCCCCCTGGCATGACCCTCATCTCTCTGTGGCCTCCCTTCCCATGTGTGGGTGCCTGCCTCTGGGTCGTGTCTCTCCTCCTCCTAAGGATTCAATCCCCCAAATGCCTCAGTCTTCATTTAAAATCCTGTCCTCTTTCTTGGCACCAAAATGTTGCTTGGCAAGAAATCCTCAAGTTTCCTGTTTTTATATTTTCATTGGTTCCTCATTGTTATGTTCTCTTGAGCTGTTTATAAATTGTTTAGGGGAAAGGCTATGAATTAAGATGAGTCTATCTGACTCAGAAAGTTGTGGCTCAGTTTCTCCCCGTCCCTGAAATAGAACAGAAAGTATCTCCTACACACGGCCACCTCCACGGGTGGCCCAAGGCCCTCTTGGACGCCATTTGTCACTGAGCCTTCGCAGCTTGAACTTCACCCCCAATACGATACCAGGGCAGAAATTAAAATCTCACAGAATAGTTCTTACAGCCTGGGTTTTATTCAGTGAAATAAACACTTACAAACATCTGTTTTAGCATAAATTCTAATTACTTAATCTAACCGAATGTAATTTCAGTGCTTTTCCAAGCTCTCATTCTGGGCAGCATGATCAATGGGGATGGCATAACCCAGTGCATGTTATTGCCACCCATGACACTCTTTCCTCTCATCGGCTCAGGCGAGAAGCACAGGGGTGCAGCTTGCTGTCGGGCCCCTGGGGGTGCAGTTCACTGTCTGTAGGGACCCTGGGGGTGCAGCTCGCTGTCTGTCAGACCCCTGTGGTGCAGCTCGCTGTCTGTCGGGCCCCTGGGGGTGCAACTTGCTGTCTATCGGGCTCCTGGGGTGCAGCCTGGGGGACTTTCTCTGCTGCTGCTCCTCAGTCGGCCACTCCCTCTTCCAGCCCTTCGAGCTGCCAGCAAACTCCCCACAGGGAGCACTGCCAGGGGACATGTCAGGTGAGGAAGGCAGAAGGCAGAGAGGCTCACACAAGTCAGGAGGAAAGAAATAGGAGAGAAGAAGGAACAGAAAGAGAAAGAAAGGCGGTTACAGGACAGAGGGAGGTGGAAAGGACAGCATGAGGAAAGGAGGGAGAAGAGAGGGATGGGAACTGAGATGGAGAGAGACAGGGAGAGGGCAGAGGGCCACGGAGGCGAGGAGAGAGGGGAGGAGAGTTGGTCCCTTGAGCTGGGGGCCCTGGCTGTTTGAGTAGCTGATGGGAGACAAGGTGGGACTATGCTCCCAGCTCCCAGCCAGTGGCAGAGCAGAGCGGGTGGTGCTGGGACCTCAGCCCTGGAGGGGATGGAGGAGGCTGCTTTCTAAATGTTGTTGCTAAGTGAGACACCTGGCTGGGGGGTGGCGGGGGCGCAAGGGGGAGATGTGTGCTGGCACCTGTGGGCTCCTTCCACATTCTTTGATGTGAGTTACTGTAAACCCTTCCTTCCTCCGGAGGCCACAGAGCCCTAGCTGACTGAGAGGCAAGGCATGACCCCTAGCTGACCCCTAGCTGATGCTGAGAGGCACCAGCTACGTAAATCCTTGTTGTGAGATTAGGGGCTGGTGTTTAAATAGCATTTCTGTTGCGAAACCTTCCTGATACAGTTAGTAATGCCTACCCCGTGGCTGACACACAGGAGGTTAAGTCAGCTCATTCGATGCAGTTTATCTTCCTGATAATCCTCGGAGATGGCCAGGCACAATCAGCTCAAAATTAGAGATCAAACATCCGAGGTCAACAGCTTGCACACCCTGAGCTCAGTGGCCGGTCCTGCTGGCTCCAAGCCCAGCACCACGACTCAGCCAGAGCACAGCCGGGAAGGCACTGCCTGCATCAGGCCTCGAGGGCTCTGCTCTCCGTCTGGGGTCCACGTGGCGCCACGGAAGGGCTGTGACCCTCCGGAGGAAGTTGGAAAGGGGAGCAGGGACCTTGTGCTGCCCTCAGCAGGTGCCCGGTGAGGGTTGGTCCGCGATGGAGGGAGGCAGTGATTTTGTTTCCTCTCCTAAGATGGTGCTCTGAGCCATTCAAGTCCGCCGGCACCTCACTAGAATGCTGGGGTGGTGGCGGCAGGAAGGGAGGGAAGGCCAGGGCGGGCTTGTATCCCTGCAGGAGGACGCACCTGGCCCATCATGACACTGGGCTCGAGGGCGTCCCTCACTGCCCCCCAAGCCCTACCGGGGCGAGGACCTCCTTCCAAATCCTTCCTGTGGATTCTCACCTTTCAGGTCAAAACACCGCATTCAGTGCAGCGAGGGGTTCCCTGGACTCGGCTCTACGCCCCTCCCATCGTTCTTCCCATCAACGCTCCCTGCTCTGCAGGTGCCCCCTCCTTCCTAAGGCTTCCCCGCCACATAATGCAACCGGCAGCGCTGGGTGGAAGGTCATTTTATCCTTCGGCCCACCCACTGCGAGGTCACCATCCTGGCCAACTACCCATTAGGTGCCCATGTGCACCCTCCAGCATCGTCCTTGCCTCTAGACATGTCTCCTCAAAGCCAGGGTCACTCCTACTTTAAAGCCCAGAAGAGGACGCCACACAGGAAGGTACCCAGTTCCTACACTTGATTGTTTCCCATTTCTCCACGTCGTTAACTCATTATCCCACCTGCCTCACTCACTCGCTCAGTCGTTCATTTGACAGACGCCCACTAGCTGCTTTCATCTGGCTGGCCAGTCTACAGTGCAGTGGGCACAGGAGGGGCGGTCCTGGAGAAAGGTCAAAGGCAGTGGTCAAAACTGTGACCTGTGAACGCCCCTGGCCTGGGCTCTGAGCCTACCTCCTCTGCTCCTGAGCTGTGGCCTGGCTGCTTCCTTAACCTTCTGGCCTCAGTACCATCATCTTAAAGCAGAGACTCTGGCAGCAGCTCCCTCAGAAAGTTGTCTGATCATCACAGAAGCTGCCTGATGAGGCTTAACCAAAACCTAGCGAGGATAGGACCTAGGAAGCCACCCCTGCCCGTCTCGTAAGAACCTGCCTTTTGCAAATGGACACAAGCAAACCCACACCCTGTCCTACATGAAAGGACGTAACACCCAATGGGGAACGGCAGGGACACCTTTGCTTCCACTCACACAGGAGGGAACAGAAGTGTGAGGAGAACATGGTGAGGGCCCCGTGCACTCCTCTGGGTGAGCACCTCCTCGGAGCCGTGGTCCAGGTGTGCGAGGAGCACTGGACCTAGAGTCAGACCCTCAGAATCTAGTTTTACGTGCAAAAGGCCTGGCGTCTGCCCTTGAACGAGACCCCCACACAGCCCATTCCCATGTGGCCTGCGTTCCCCATCTGAAAAGTGAGGAACAGACGAGCTAAGGGATTTCCAATAGCAATGTCCTTGGGTTCTAAACACGGGCAATTCTCAGCAACAGTGCTGTCAGGAGTGTGGCCCAGGAGGCTCCCCGCACTCTGTCCCCACATCTCCCCCCAGCGTGCTGGTGACACGCACAGCATGGATGTGCTGTTTCCTGGAACCCCCTCCCATCTGGGCCTGGAGAAGGCGGGCCCCCGGAGGCTTGTGTCCTGGCTGCCCACAGAGGGAGGCCCCAGCACCGGGAGGGCTCGGGTGGCACTCACCGCGGGCCCGCGGAAGGGTGCGTGGTCACAGTTCTCCTGCCAGGACTGGTTGAGGCTCTGTGCAAACTCTCGGAAGAAAGTGTGGGATTGGTTAAAAATGGAAAATCCCAGGATGTTGACACGGTCATCCACGAGGCTGTCCACGCTCTGGAGCGAGAACTCCTGGAAAAACCCACAGTCAGGAGAGAGCAGAGTTAGGAAGGGGAGACATGGGAGGGACTCGCTGGCACCACTCACTGCCCGCTAGTCAGATGCACACTCAGGCCAATCCTCTGCTGGGCAGGGAGGCCCCAGCGAGGGCTGAGCTAGTCTTCTGAGAGCAGGTGCTGGGAGAAGAGGAAATGAACAGCAGGGTCCCTAAGAGCGTGTGTAGGGTTCGGGGAGGAGAGGAAGAACACTCATGTGCCTGATGGAGGCAGCAGTGTCACACGAGGTGTCCACCGAGCTGTCGGGAACAGTGTGTAGGCATTTGCTGGGCAAAAAATGGGAATGGGCAACGGCCACTCAGGCAGAAGACCCGAGGCCACAAAGGCTCGGCGGGGAGGAAGCGTGCGGCTCTTCCACTCGCTTCCCACAGTGCCCAGGGATAGCAGCATCACTTCTCAGAGTGGTCCGCAGAACCTGCCACCAGGTTCACTGGCAAATTTAACAAGGGTGATGCCTCTGGTGCCTACCTAGTGCCCCTGAAGCGGGGCTCTGGGGCGTGGCACTTTCAGCAGGTCCGCAGGCATTATGCACTCTGAAATTTGGGATTTACTGGGTTAGCACATAGGGTACACAGGGTGGGGAGTGGTGAGAAATGAGCTGGACAGATTGGCGGGGCCGAGCCTGGGCAGTGCCAGCCGAGGAGCTGGCGCTCTGTCCTGTAAGCGATGGGACCCGAGGGGGCGGTCACAGAGAAGGGACAAGGATCAAATTTGCTTTCTTCAAACCTGCAGGCTGAGGACAGGGCTCCTTTATTATGTCATTTTCATTCATTACAACACTTGGGTGCCTACTGTGCACCAGGCGCAGGCGCAGGCGCAGGTCCGTCCAGAGGAGCGTGCAGGCTCAGGAGCCAGTGCCCGAGGAAGTGCCTGCAGCAGCTATGCTGGGCAGGTGGGGCTGTCCTTCAGCGCAGGCAGCCAGGGAGCTCCCCTCTGGGGCAGTGACATTCAGAAGCTCAAGGGGATTCTCCCAGAACCCATGTCACCTGGTCACCTGGCCCAGCCAGGTCTCATCTCAGTAACTAAAACCCCAAGCCTGGGTCCCATGGAAGCCAGTCCGTGAGACAGCCCTCCTCAGTGGGCTGAGCTTGGAGCCTTTGGGCCCCTCTGTTCACTGGGCGCCCCGCGCCCCTGGGCCTCTCCAGGAGGCCAGGTGGCAGGGTGTGGATGATTCAGCTCTCTGATCCCGCTCTGAGAACAGCGCCTTCATATGTGGTTCACTTTCGTGCAGGAAGTCCCTTTCATCACATGCTCATTTTGAGCGCCTCACACAGAGCCCGCAGCCAGCAGGCACATGGCGGGTACAGACCCCGACAACCCATTGCCACGCAGCCCGATGGGCAGATGCGGTGTCTGGAGAGGACTCCCTGGCTGCTTCCTCCAGGACAGCGCTGCTCTCCTCGGTGGTCTCTCCCTGATACTGAGCTCCCCCAGGCCCCTGCGCATCTCTGCACCCTCCCTTGGGTCTGTGCCAGCCAATGCCGGGACCAGGTTGCTCGGAGCTCCCTGTGCAGAGCCCAGCCACTCTATGCAGCTTGCAGATTGAAGATCCCGTTGGGAGATGCTGTAAAGGTCCCTATGGAGACACCAGCCCCTGACACTCTGAGTTGCTTGCTGATTCATTGTGTTTTGGGTCCCACCACATTCCTGTTAGGGGAACGGAACGTGCCAGAGAACAGATTGACTCTTAAGCTGATATTCTGTCCTAACATGGCAGCTGCCCACGTGCTGGGACTATCGCCAGCGTGAGGCAGATGGCTAATGAGAAGGATGCATCTCAAGGGAGGGTGGCCGGGGCACCAGGCAGGCGGCTGCCGGCACCCAGGGCCCTCACTGATATGGCTGGGTGGGGACCAGAGAGGTGTCCCCTCTCCCTTGTCTCCTGTCCTGTGGGCAGCTGGCACCTCTCCTTCATCCTCTCCCCACATGCATGGCCTGACGGGTCTCAGATGCCCACAGACTCACTGTGGCGACTGGGGGCATACAGTAGGTAAGGGCTCTGTGCTCAGATCCAGGTTCCTCACCACAGTGATGTATGGCCTTAGGGAAGGCCTTTAACTCTCTAGGCTTCAGGCCCCTGCTTTGTAAAGTGGGAACAATAAAGACAGCAACCTCAGAGGCTGTTTCAAGGAACATATAAGATGCACGCACAGGCTTAGCATCATATCTGCACATGGGAAGTGCTCAACATGTGATAGTCGCTGAAATGCTCTAGGAGACCTTGGGAGTGCCACCTTGGAGATCTGAGTTAGGAAGGTGTTTCCTGCCCTGGCCAGTTTTGCTCAGTGGATAGAGCGTCGGCCTGGGGACTGAAAGTCCTAGGTTCAACTCTGGGCAAGAGCACATGACTGGGTTGCAGGATTGATCCCTAGTAGGGGGTGTGCAGGAGGCAGACGATCAATAATTCTCTCTCATCACTGATGTTTCTATATCTCTCTCTCTCCCTTCCTCTCTGAAATCAATAAAAATATATATTTTTTAAAAAGGAAGGTGTTTCCTTCGAATGTATGTTTAGTAAGAATGAATGTTAACTGCACACTCCTAGGACAGCCCTTCTAGAAGTCAGCCAGTCTGTCTTCTGGCCTTTTCATTCCTACTTTCTTATCCCTCACAATTATATTCTTTTTTTTCAAAGTCCCCTTAAGATGAAAAGATCCAGAATCTTCCTTGATAACTCATTCCATTTATAATAACTCACGGGAGAGCTTGTAAAAGAACCAAAGAGGCAGCAGTGTGTTTCTTATCACAGTGTCCCAGGGCACGCTGGGAGTCTCCTCCCTAAGACCCTCATTTATGAAATGCTTCTTATGACTAAGCTTAGCCTCTCTGGATGAAACTGAACACTGGTTCCTAAACAAATATGGGAAACAGCTGCCAGTTTCTGCACGATAACACCTTCTAGGCCAGTGCTTCCCAAAGTGTGTTCCCCAGGGAATTAGCTTTTCCAGGAGCCATTAATAAAAATTTCATAAAAAGAAAGTTTCATGTTCAAATAAAATTAGAAAGCATTGGATGAGATATCTGCCTCTTTAAGATTCACATTTATCCACATGTAGTGCCTTACAGATGTGCAACATGGAGCCACAGCTGGGTTCTGGTTCACCCTGCCCTTCCAGCACACTGCCCTCCCAGCACACTGCCCTTCCAGCACACTGCTCTTCCAGCACACTGGCCCTCACTCAGGCCCACTGCCCTTCCAGAACACTGCCCTTCCAGCCCACT